TTTTCAAAATCAAAACAAAAAGTTGTGTGCAAAACATACATCCTTTTCATCCTTATTTATTTAAATATTTAAAATACGTATATATCTACATAATTGCAATTCCGGATGGCATATGTCAAGTAAAATCTGGAAAAGAATAATAAAGTAAAAAAAAAAACCCCTGAAGGAATGGAGTCCATAATCACCATATAATATAACATTCTGCTAAGGTTAAACTCACAAACACTCTACCTCCCAGAAAACAGGCTCATCTATTGTCCTGCCCTAACTAAATGGGGAAAAGCCCCATTTTAAAAAGCTTTCCGGAAAATTAGAAAGGGTCATTTGGTGGAAGAGTGTAAGATTGTTCTAAAGAGCAGGTGCTTACAAAGTCTGAGATAGACGACAGGTATAAAATTTGTACCACAACATTCTCTTACATACTGTATTTAAGCTATTATTTTAATATGACTCTTAATGCAAAACCATGCAAAATAATTTCTGTAACACAAAATACAAACCGTATAAATTCTAATGGAGAATTGTCTTCAGCATTTACCCACTTTTCTTAGTGGGTAAATAATGAATATCTACAGGCTGTTTTAACTTTTATAAATAAATATATGTGTATTAAAACCAATATCTAGAATTCTGAAAATTGCCTGTTCTGCAACGAAGAAGTTGTGAGAATTGATTAAAGTTTTTACTAATTGGATAAACAGTTTCTTTTTAAATTGTTCTGATGGATGTAAGTATCTTATCCAACAGCTGTGTTGTGAATAAAGTGTCAATGTGTTATATAATTACACATAGCACGTATTCCTAAAATATTACTTCAATTAAACTAACACCATTCTTTCGGAACATTAGTCTTTTAATATAGGAGCATTAGTGTCATCAACAAATTATTATTTAGATAAGCATCAGGAATCTAATATAAAATGTAAAATTATTTGTACCATTCTTTGATTTGTTTGCAAACGAATTTAATTTAATTCACTGCACAATTAATACCTCTCCTTTAGTTTCAAAGTCCCACATTAACCACTTGCTCCTACAATTTGGAAACCATAAATTCTTCCATTCTGCTCTGATAACTACATAGTATATATTTATTATTATCTGTTTTCTATACAGGATGGTAAACACAATTAAAATGCTAATTAAAAATACATATCTAGATAAATATTAAGAGACTAAAGTAGCAAATGGCAAAATAAAAATATAACATTTAAAACAACAATAAATTAAGATGTGATTGCACAATGATCTAAGCTGACATGACTACTTTCAGATTTCCAAACTCAAAACAGAACATCCCATGTTAAACATCCCTCCAAATTCGAGACAAGACATGATGCAAGACATCATGTTCTGAAGTTTTCTTTCCAACAATTGGCTTTTCTCCTCTCCAAGCTATATAAGTTGTGAGGAAATAGCTTCTAATGGAAACTCAGGTCCCAATTCTTGCAGAACTGCCTGGAACAGGTTGAAAAGAAACACAAACATGTAAAAGTAGCTACCTTTCCTTGGAGAAACAAAGCAAAGAGGAACCTGGAAGACTAGGGTAAAATACTTAGATGAATTACCTACAGATCAATTGTATCAAGCATATTCATAACATTTTTCAATAATTCCAAAACACAGCTCTTTCACGGAAAGAGATGCAAATTAATTTCTGCTCATCCTATAAAGATGGTCACCCTGTTGTTATTTTTTTTTACAATGATACACTCCAGTAGGTAATTTAGTCTTCATGGATTGTAATATAATCTTTCTCGTTTTCTGTATTTTGTGTTCATGCATGCTGCCAAATGCAAAACTGTGCTTTGGCAATTTGTTGAGAGCTGTATTTTTTGCAGGCAAGTTGACAACAGTGTAATGAACATATGCACAAAGTCTATCCTCAAGTCAACAACTAAAAAAGTATATTATTCCTATTAAATCGTGTGTGGACTGTTTTCAAAATTTAATTCATTGCTGGCATCAGTTTTATGCCTGTTTGTGCTTCTATGTAAAAACATTCCTATTTTTGCTTTCAATGTATATTATGGGATTTTTTTTTAAGTGATTATTTTTAAAAATCATTTTCTTGGCCAATTTCGTATAAATTGATCAGTAAACAAAACTCTAAAAAGGATACCACCTAATTAACATATATAATGCTAGGATGAGAACTGAAACAGGAAAAGACTTGTGTGCTCCCCCTTTTAACATGTACCTTTAAGGTTGCTTTATGATATAAAGATAACTAGTGTAGGTACAAATCAAAGTGAACTTCCTATGGGAACTTCCAAACTACAGTCATAAACAATCCTTTCCCCAAGACACAGTCAATGTATTTCAAATAGTAACAAATGTTGCAGGAAACCCTCTTTTCTATAAAATCAATGAAATGAATGGCTAGAAAAATAGAATGAATTGATAGAAAAATAGAATAGCATTCAGTCTATTAATGACTGTCACTAAGATGGTTTTTGACTCAACAATTTCTGAAAGATGCTCCAGTACAAAACTTACTGAAGTAGGTTAACTCTATGTTTTACAGCAGCCATACCAGGTAATTCTAGAGGCTTGACAGACTATAAATAATTTATTAGAATAAAATTCCAAGGCAGTATTTTGTTGTTTTATAACTTATATGGATTCAGTTTATAATATTTCACCACACTTATTCCTTTCTTATTTTGATCACCACTTTAAAAGAAGAACCTTGGAATCTTTTTTTTCCCCAAACAGCTGCCCCATAAGCTTTATTGCTATAGCAACTAACTTAATTGGTTTCCTACAGGTATCTCCTTCAACCATCCATCGGGTGGAGCTACTATCCCTAAGTATAAACCAAAGAGTTAAGAAAAGAAAATAATCCTTTCCTCATCTTTCAGGTTACAAGAAACAAAGAAAATAAACAATGTATTTTCTGATAATTAAAAAGCAAAATCATCCTATATAAGAGCTTTTTGTATGCTAAATTTGTTTATCACCTCATAAAAACAAAACATTTTCCTCTATAAGAACATATATTTATTAAGGAAAAAAGGGAAAGGAAGAGAAACATTTTTAAGTTATGTTGAAATTTACTTTAAACTTTAAAATATTCACTGATCCATTATATTAAATTATACTTTAAACCTGACTGTGCTGTCATTTTAGCTGAGTGTTTGGAATACAGCTGTCATATCCGTAACAGATAAGTGTATTTTTTAAAATGAACATAGGTATATAAGTACAGGCATGGAAGTGTTCATTATCTTTCCATTCCATTTCAATTATAAAAAATGCAGTGATGTTAACTAATGATTGATCTTAATTTTGTAATAAAACATGTTTAAAGTATCCTGTTAAAGATATTAAGATTCTATATAAACTATATTAACATATATTTTGTCCATATTTCATTCGTAGTATTCTTCTGAATTTAAAAGTCATTTACTACAAAGGTCTTTAAGCAATGTGGCAGTCAGATTACATGTGAATTATATCATCATATTCAAAGTTGCACATTCAGTTATTAAGATGCTGAAATAATGGAAGTAGTGAAGTGTCTTGACACTGCATATTTTAGGCTAGGGAATGCTCAGGGCTGTGCAGAATATATATTCATCGTGCTTAGTAAAGATTAAGCTGGGATCTGCAAAAAAAGAATTTAGTTATAATTTAAAAACTCACTATTTAGAAATTACGAGATTGCATTTCAGGCTAATAGAGACATAGGAAGTGGACAAAAATCTATGAAAACGAGAATTATAATACTGAAGGTTTTGAAAAACAATAACAGCGCTGTCCTTCCCAAATACAACTGTTAAAAGTATCAATACCCTAATATATTTTAAAGTTATTGAAAAGTATTTGTCAATTGACAGTATCTTATCATTACATTACACATATAGTGCACTCATATGCAAGATTTATAGACAATGCAATTTAACACAATATTTTAACATATATTTTATTAAATACAAGAGCTTGAGGACTAAAATGTTATCTTATCCGTAGTAGTGCATGTGATCTTCCATGAAGAATTTGATAATTAAAAGATTTTATATTACAGAAATATATGTTAATTTTAAAAGTACAATGAAACACAAATTCAGTACTAAAGAATCTTGTCCTTACCTTAAGGAGAAAATTCCATTGATGTAGTAATGCTCAGAAAGTTTCATAATAATCACAAATAGAGAATGCTTAATAAACTATTAGTTTTAAAGAGATTTAGAATTCACTAACCATCCAACTTCAGTTATGGTAAAGAAACTGTATTTCAAATCTATTTTCTTCAATAAAAGTCAACATGAGATCCTTTTCTCCCATTGATCAATGTATATTACAGCTGTCAATAAATTATGTCGAATTCATGCATGCTAAGAAGTATATTTCATTCTGTTAAATCACATTTGGATTATACTTTACAAAAACATGATTCCCATCCTCTGATAATAGCCAAAAGCTTCTAAACAAAATGTATTTATATTAAATAAATAAATACTTTTACAGTCTTTTAAACTCCATCCTTTGGTACTTAATACTTCTGACTCTACCCCAGAAATAACTGGTTTATTATAAGCTATAATAAAACAGATGATTAGTTTAACTAAGGAAGCTTTGTGATACGTTTGCAGTAGAACCAAGTTCTATCCCTAAGGAATAGCAGCATCATAAGCATGTTTTTCAAGAATCCTGAATGTATGAGAAGGGGAGACTTGGACATGGAGAGAAATAAAGACAGAAATACGCACCAGTAATAGAAAATGTAAGTAGTAATAAATATAGAACATCTGGATTGGCATATTTGGTTAGGATTTCAACAGCGGCAGGAAATACAAAACATTTGGAAGCAAGCATTGTTTTTTAACCAAGTTTCATACAAAACGTTGCTTTTAACCTAGCTTTATAATGCACACGTAGTGGCTCTTTGGAAACAGCCTGGCCTATAAAATCAACGTGGTCCATTCAGTCAAGAAAGGAAGCCAAAAATACAAAGAAATACACAGATCTGTCTGATCTGCTGAATCTATACTTACTGCAGTAGGCAATTAAAAGGCCAACCAAGATCATGACTGCCCAGAAAGTTGAGGATGCACTCGGCAGGACGTTGGCATCTTTCCTACTGCTTCGCTTAAGAGATGGAGCCATTGAAGCCATAAGACCCCCAAAGCCAAAAGAAAAAGGGGGGGAGGGAGGGGGAGTCAGATAAGTTTCACAAGCCAGGTCTCCCTCGCCCTTCGATACACCTAATCCCAAATGGAAACATCTTAGAGAAGGACCACAGGATTTGGCCGTCAGCAATCATCCTGGGGTGCCCAGAGGGGTCTCTTCAGCCCTGCCAAGCCTGAAGACATTTTGTTTCAGCCGGCGACGACCTCTGGAGCCCGGTTTCTCCCCCCCCTTCGAGGATGGCGATTCATCGAACTTTCCCTTCTAAGGGCGGCGGGAAGGAGGCAGGCAAGGCAAGGCTGCCTTCCACGAGCCCTTCAAGCAGCCCGTCGGGGGCCAAGCGGCGTTTGGGTCTTCGCTTCTCGGGGAAGGATCCCAGACGGGGCGCGGCAGCAGGAGCGAGGCTCGAGCGGCGGCTGGTGCCTGGTGGTGAACCCTCCCGCAAGTCCCGAGCGAGGGGGCGCCGCGCGTGCGCATCCACGCGCGCCCCGGCAAGCGGGCGAGCTGCCCGGCCGAAGGGAGAAAAAAAGGTCGCTACCCGAAGGCGCAGAAAGGAGGCTGACCAGGACGGCAAGGCAGGCAGGGGCATGCCTCTGAGGGCGTGAGGGGAAGGGCCGGAGCCGCGGCGAGCAGCTGCCGAGGGTCTCCGGAAAGGTTGGCCCGCTCGACCGCCTTTCTTCCCCACGGACGGCAAACTTCCCGCGCCGCTCCCTTCAGCACTTGTGGCTTCGTCCAGAGGGAGCCTTGCCGGCGCGGCGGAGGGAGCCCCCTTTTGAGGGCAAGGGTTAGCCAAGCCCGCCCACTGGTGCCGCCTCGCTCTCCGCAGCCTCCGACGACGACGCCTTGGTTTCCCCTCGGGGCGAACAGAGCAGCGTCACCCAGCTTAGCCACCTTGGCCGGACGGGCTGGCTGGCTGGCCGGCCGCCGCCGCTGCCGCCAGTCCTCAGCCTCGAGCTCCGTAGCGTTCTGCAGCAGACATCCCGCGCTTTCCCCGTCCGCAGAGCGGCGGCTCCTTTTTTTTTTTTTTTTGGCTTTCTGGCCGGCGGTCCCGTCGGCGCGGAGCGCAATCAGCTCCCACCCCTTTGCCGAGGGTGCGTTGGGGGCTCCAGCCGACGCGCCCCCCCGCCTCCGCGCCACCCTTAACGCCGCCCCCGGCCCGCCTCGCGCGCGCTGCTCACCGAGGCTGGCGCGGGGAGGCCAGGCGGGCGCGCGCGCGCGCGCTTCTCACAGCCCGCGAGCGGCTTCGGAGCTTGGCTGTTGCCCGGCTCTTCATGCCGCCCCTCCCTCTTCTGCTGTGGCGGGAGTGAGGTGGAATAACTACCACCACCCCGTTCACCCCCTCAAATCCGGCAAAAGTGAAGAGAAAAAGCCGTTCCTCACAGAGAAGACCCTGCTGCTCCAGCCCCCCTTCCTAGAAGGCAAAACTCCAGTGTGACATAAATCCAACCGTGGTTAATTAAAAAAAAAAAAGACATTACCGATAAGGCTGTGGTAAAGAGCCGCCACTTTCTCCCTACGTATGAAGAGCGAGCGCCCTGTTTTAAATAGCTCGTTCGCAGCTTTGCTTTTGCGGGAGAAATCGCTCTCCGCAATGGTCGCCATCCTGAAGAGGCGGCTTTTACGAGTCAAGAGTTGCGTTGCTAAAAACTCTCTTCCCTTCTCCTACCTTGGACTTTTAAGAATCTTTTCCCGCCCATTTGCAGTGAAGGAAGGAACATAGCGGCCGTCGTTATCTCCACCCCTGAGCAAAGCCGCTTCCAGGCTGCGGGGCTCGGGGGCAGCAGATTGGAGGCACCCGCCGTTACTTGTCCATTTCCTGGGCATCCTCGCGAGGACTGTCCTAGAGTCATTCGTTTAAATCTGCCCTCCATAGTTCAGAGATAAGATTTGATCGTAGTAAGAATTGCGAATTTTACCTCATCAGTTGTCACCTATCCAGTAGCGGATTAAGGCTCAGGGGTCCACTAAACCACTGACAAATCTTGGTGCCCCTCCTCCTTTGTACAGACGAAACCAAGTTTAGGCTACATAAAAAGTTTTTTTGGTGCTTCCTTTGGACCTGGTGCCATAAGCACGTGCTTAATGGTTAATACACCACTGCACCTAGGGCTGGCAGTTGGGGAACTGACCAGCCACCCCAGATCTTCCTGCTTCAATCCTCCCCATCCACAAAATATTTGAGTTAAGAAAGACTTCTGATTTTTGTTTCCTCTTTGCACCCCAGAGGGCTCCATTTCAGCCCATTTCCAAACAAACTCAACCAAATTGAGTATGCTCAACACTGGCTGGTTCTTCATTGAGAAGAACCAGCGAAGTGTTGCAGTCATCAGCAAGCTTCAGTTACTCATTCTTTGCTACTGAGAGAAAGAAGGAGCAGTCTTTGCTTCCTTTTGCTTGGGTGCTTTGAGGTGGAGAAGTTTGCTGCACTGGGTTGACTTCTCCATTACTCCAAATCCCATAAGCAGTTAAACAAGTAATACCATATCTCACCTTCCACAATTAATTCAATATACTGCAGGAGGTTTATGAGGGTAGAAGTAACTACTCATAATTTCTTGGCAGCACCATTTATTCAGTCTTCTCTGTATGGTACCTGTAAGAATTAAAGATATTGAGAGACTGCACTGTCAGAAATGGTGTAGGGTCTCCTGCTTGGGCGGGGGATTGGACTAAATGAACTACAAGGTCCCTTCCAACTTTGTTATTCTGTTATATTAAGCTATATATAACTTTTTTGTAGCTTACATTCTCATATACTCAATTTAAGGAGCAGTTAAGATGTTACCTAAAAAAAAAAGATTGTCAACCCAAATCATTGTTAGAGAACAGCTAAGATTAAGAATACAATTCTTTGCAAATTTGCTGGGTTCAAGCCCATCTCAATGACCTTAGTCAAGCTGACTTCTAACACCCATGCATAGGGCTGCGCTCTGCATCATGTTGAAGTTAGCATCCACCCTTCTCCTAGAAAATGAAATATCCTGGGAAATATTAAAAAGGCAGAATATTTCCTCTAAAAAGAGTAGAAACTCAAGAGCAGAAACTCACCTCAGAAGCAGAAGCTCACCCCCACTTTTGTTAATCTCAGCCCCACCTTTTTTAATGGGTGGGCCATTAAGGCCTGGGCCAGAATACTTTACATAGCAAAGATCTCCAGGTAAATCTATAGCAATTGCTCAAAAGCCCTTTCAATGCATCATCATGTAGCAAGGCTCAACCAAGCCTGGAACTCAGGACAGCCTACAGAGTTGCCCCTGCATGGTCCCTTGGGGGTCTGAAGAGCAGCAGACATAGAACCGGTTCTATGATGTTTTTGCCCACCCACCCACCTGGGCTCTTACGTGATCTTTATTTCCTGATTTTTCAACTTCAACTGCCGAACGAGGCACAGCTGCAGTTAAAAATGCAGGAAAAGAGGGCTGTTTCAAAGGCTGCGTCTCTGCACATAGCATGCTGATGACGATTTACAGGCACGCCGGCTCAAGCGTGCACGGAAGCTCATAAATCCCGAACTGATAGTTAACCCTGTCGTATCCCACCCCAATCTCTTTCTTCACCTTGAAGCGTGTGATCATCCTTCCTTTTCACTTTGGAGCTCCAAGCCATGTCCACCATTAAACCTTCCAAACAACCTCCATGTTTCCAGTGTCTTTTTCCCCACTTGAAACTGAACCCAGAAGGATATTTCTTCCAACAATGTGTAGAGGAAATATTAATTCCTCTTGGGTATTAAGGGTTCCTATCCTGTACTTCAGTCATAGTCCATTGTGTTCAGTGATAGGCAGATTATGACCTTAATGTGCCTGCTTTTTATTAAGGACATTAGCTGTTCCACATCTTCTAACTCTGAAAAGTTGCTCTATGTCTGCACTATTGATTTAATAAGATTACTTCTAGCCATGGTGTAATAAATGTGCAAAAGGGCAATGGATTTTGTTCCAAGTTTGACTTTCCATTCTTTTATTTTTGTAAATTTTTTATTGATTTTTAAAGACAAACATAAACAAACAAAACATAAAAACATCAACCTTTCTTCCATGAGTATACAAGCAGACTTTCCATTCTTGTTGATAAACAATTTTTATATATATTTTATAGGTCAGATGAAATAATGTAACAAAGAAGGGAGAAGGAGTAACAATTTCACGTTCTGTTACTTGGAAAGAAAATCTGCAACAAGAAAGTATTAACATAATATCATGGCAGTTCTAATCCAGTCAAATTCATCTCTAAACTCTGTTATTCTTACAAATAAGTTCTACAAAATTCATAAATTCAAATATGTATACTGATGCTAGGGTTATTTTGGCCATTTAAAATTCTCCCTTTTATTCCTATGGTTTGGTGCTATAGTCATTATAATGAATATTTTGTATATAATATTATGCAGGGTATTTGAAGTTAAAAAGGCTTATTTAGGCATAAAAAACTGTCAATTATATCAGCAGTATATTACTATAGTTGCACTCATTCTAGACATATTCTGAACTGTCTTCTTACTGTGGCCACACTCCATAAATGAGTATTAGTTTTACATTTTTCATCAATTAAAATAGAAATGCAAATTATAGTCTATAATTCAAGATTTGGATTGAATTGCTTGTGTATTTGTTTTCACTAATATCCACAGAAGTAACCTCCATGAACTTTAATTAGAAATTTGGCATAATCGATGTTTGCTTACTATATTTTAACAGTTTAAAAATACTTCCTTTCACAAAAGACACGGAAAGAACATGTCAAACCAAGTAGATTTAAAAAATTACAAAATGTAATTCCACTGAGTTAAAATGAAACAAAATTCAGCAACATCGGTAAAGATAGCAATGTATAGAAATAATAATAATTGCAGAAAACTATGAAGCTTGATATACTCAGAAGTATTCAAGCACATACAATTAATGTTAAGTTTAGTTCAATTCTGTGGCAGTGGTTAGATATGAGAATTAACTTTTAACCTTATTGGTCATGATTAAATC